GAAGGGGTCAGCTGCGCCATCGTCCTAGGCCCTTTACTGCTCCCAGAATCGGTGGCGGGTCCTTTCAGAGGGAGTAAGTCCCCACAGCTGAGCCCTTTAGAGGGTTCAGGGTGAGCACAAGGCCTAAGCAGGGTCCTTTGCCCAGAGCCCCTTGGTTGGGTTTGGATGGTGTCATCTTTTTAGCCCATCACCAGCTGGGAGGACCATGGTGCTGGATACGCACTACACACCTGTGGAAGAGTCAGCACGGCCTTCTCTGGCTTGACCTGAGTTTGGCTAAGGATCAGGGCCCTGTTAAATCTGGTGCTAGCAAGCATGCAGGTGGGCCTCAGGCTAAACCAAGTATGTGGAAATGTAACCTTTTGCCCTCGATCATGGGGCAAAGGCTTAAGTGTAAATTACTAACCAAATGCTGAAACTGCTAAGTTCTTGCCCTCGGTCATTGGGCAGGGCCTACTTATAAGTTGCTTAAACTGCTGAAATCATTAACGTGTATACCATTAAAAACAAGCATCATCAAAATTTCCAGAATTATTATGACATGGCTTATAGAAATAGGGGGCGACAATGGGCACACTCTGTATTTTACAAAAGTGCTAACCACAAAAGAAGTAAACAACTTAGGATAATGGCGTACATTAACGATTATACAAACAATGTTAAATAAAGTGAGTAGCATATCTAAGGGTGTTGGAATAAAGACGTGCGTACGGCTGGAACACCACATGGCAACAAGGTGTGAAGCAACCGAGTCTTGCCTTGTATAAAGGATGCTACTGCAAGCATGTGCTTTGGGGAGGGAGGAACAGAGTGGATCTGCAAACTCTGTTCACGTAACCAGAAGCTCTGGCCCTGTTCATCCACATCACACAGTCTAGGACGTCTCAGCGAGCAGGAAGTACCGAGACCACGACCTCCTGTCCAGGGATTGTTGGGGATCAAGGGTGAACTGTAAGTGCATTAGGCTTGAATATTGTAGTATAGCTAGTTTTTCATTAACTGCTTTGCATTATAGGTATTTTAGGCTAACCCTCTTTAAAGTCTATACTAAATAAATATAAATATATTTCATAGTAATAAGTTGGCCTATAATGAATCATGGCTGAGACCTGTATTGTGATTTGTGTTGTGTTTATTTGTCTTGCACTCCTTATGGGACTTGTATTGACCCTTTTACTTGAAAAGTTCTTCGGTTATTGTAATTGCTTGAACTTTCAATAAAATAGGTAGTGGTTAAGTTTAGATCTTTCTCAGGGTGTGTCTAGACTACAGGGTTGTTTTGAAAAAAGTGGCCTTTTGTTCGAAAAAACTTCCCCTGTGTCTAGACTGCTGCCGTTTTCTTTTGAAAGTAAATCGAAAGAATGGGGCAGTTTTTTCGACTGCGGAAAACCTCGTTTTACGAGGAATAATGCCTTTTTTTGAAAGTGCTCTTTCGAAAAAAGACGCTATGTAAATGTAAACTATGCTTTTTCGAAAGAGAGCATCCAGACTGCCTGGGTGCTCTCTTTCGAAAAAGCGGCTTCTAGACACTCTTTTTCAAAAGAGGCTTGTAGTCTAGAAGTAGCCTCACTGGTTTGTCCTGCACCCCTGAATCTAAAAATATACACTAAAAGAACTATCACACGACAACACCAAAGTTGAAGCACTGGGTACTGGTTTGGGCCATGTTGGCTCTGAAGCTTGACACGAGGTAGTCTGAATCAGGAGGGCCCTGAGACGGATGTTGCACTCTGTCCACAGACAAAAGTTCTGGCAGATATGACAGTGCTCCTTTATATGGGTTTCCCCAAGGCACTGTAAACAAATCTCATGCAGGTCACTAACAGGCACAGGCCAGTTTCATGACCACCACGGGCAGTAAACAACAACTGAGAGGGTGCAGGGTTGATGGTGCCTGATATACTGCACTGCGAGCACAGCACTCCAGAGGGCACCACAGTGGGCCCTACAGGTACAGCTAAGACAAAAGTCTCCGATGGCCACACGAGAGTGCATGCAGACCTACAGCAGAATCGACACGAGCACGCACTCGAAAAAACTCCTCATCCATCTTGTCTCTCTCGTAGCCTGGCACCAACACAGCCAGAACACCATTGTAATGCAGCAGGGCCCATATGCCCCAATCAGGCATGGGTTTCCAGACATAATGGAAATCGTGACACCGTCCCTGCTCACAGTGGTTTACTGCACATAGTGGTTTATAATATTGTGGCGTAGCAGGGGTGCTGTCTGCTCTGTGACCTGGGGTCCCCCTGCGCTGTGATGTGAGATTCCCACTGACTCACCCAAATGTGTATTAACCCAGACACCCAGGCTCATCCTGAGGAGATAACAGGGGATTCCCAGGGTGACACACACAGGGAGGGAGGCGGAGACAAACACCAGGTTTCGGAGGAAGGGGCAGTTGCTGGCTGGGGAACATGAAGGAAGCAGCTTTAGCTGAGGGTCTAGTGATGACAATGGACCCCCTAACCCAAGGGGTCTGAGGCATCCTGGCCCTGACTCCTGAAACCACATCACATCTATGCTGGGCTGTATCCTGGAGGAGCAATAAACCCTTTCTATACTACTGGTTGGCGGAGTCTCATCTTGCTGCAGACGGGGGTGCAGGATCGGGGGGTACCCTACGTGTCACCACAAATACGCACCTAATTTTTCTGGAAAGCTTTGCCCAAGGAACACTGGCATTTCCTCAGTTACTTCAAGCTACAACAGTGCTTTTAACTGATTCAGAATGAATATTAAAGAAGCTACTAGACTGAACAATGAAGTTCATAGATTTAGACAGGTTTCCAATGACTATTTGGAGCCTTTTTTAATGGTACAAGTAGATATTTTTTCAGCATTTGAGATTATTTAGGATTTGTATGAGACAGTATTCATTTATTACCTGTGAATTTTAGGTTTTATATTTACATACTTAAACAATAAAACACTGTAGGCAACAGCTAAAAAAAAGACACAGAAACTGAACAGAGACATACATTTAAATTATGATACAGTAAAATGGTTGGTTTTGGTGACCAGAATGTTGAAGCTCAATGACAGGCTCAGGAAAAAAGATCTTGAAGACTGGTAAGTTATTTCATAAGTAATTTGAATTTAAAACTTTATGCTGCTACATTAGCATTTTAACTTTCTTATGTGACATCACTGAAAAGCTATTACCAGTCAAAGGGTAATAGTGTATATTATTTAAAATAACCGTATTACATTCTAGTTATATGAGGATGGTCAGCTGTGTTAAGAGAAAACGTGCTACAGAAATTGCCATGTTTGATGGTCTTTGTCCTAGACTAGAGTTTCATGGTATCAATATTTTAAAAGCTCAGTCAGCCAGGGTCTGTGTAGATTCAAAACAGAGCCACAGAATCTAATTTGCATTTTGGAAGTTACCAGATATTGGAGAGGCACCCTTTGTTTAACATTTCAAAAGGATAACTTCAGCATTACCGAAGTAATCCTTTTTTCACTTATTCCTCCAAAAAACATTTCGCTGGATGGACTACTATTTGAGTCTTTATATAGTGAGTAAAACACCATGGCTCAAGTTTCCAATTGCCCAATACATAGCATTCTGTTACAGCTACTGTTATGAAGTTTGTATTTCCAAACAGCTGCAGACCACAGGGTAAAAATCACAGATTCATAAGATTGGAAGGGACCTTGAGAGGTCATTTAGTCCAGTCCCCTGCACTCTAGGAATATTAGATAATGTGTAATTGAATAGTTGTGTAACCGCATCAAATTTTAGCTGGGGGTGGGGCTGGCAGCTAGTGCGCTCCTGGCCCCACTCCCAGGGAGCCCGCTGCCACCCTGCACTGCTGCCTCTGATACACAGACAGCAGCATGGGGGGGCA